GTGGCAGTTGGGGGCGGCAGCAGGTCGGGGTGGGTGCGGACGGGAGCCTGCTTCTGAGCGCAGCGCGCGGGCCGCGGCTGGGCGGGGGCGCTGGTCGTGATGAGATTAGCAAGTCGGTAATGTCGGTAATGTGCCCCGGCCGAGTCGTCAGAGGCCGGACGGGGCCCCGGGACAGGGGGCTCGCCTGCTTTCCAACAACTTTGCGACTGATACTCAATTTATGCCGTCTTATCTGACGAGCGTCAAAGCGTCGGGGTAGTGCCATGCAATATGCAGCCGGTTCCCCCGTTTGGCTGGGTCTGCACCGAGGGGGGAGGCCACCGCGCAGAGATGTCGCGCTTGAATGTCCGAGCCCCGCCATGCGAGACGACGCCTCCGAAGTTTAAGGGCTGAAGGGAAATACCCGCCTTGACGCTTCTCGACGATCATTTTCCATACTTACTAAATTTTTATTTCCGTATTCTAATTTGAGAGAGGAGATGAAAACATCTAGCCTTGTGCTTCCCGCACAGACCCTGACTGCACTGCCTCGCCCGACTCGCGAGGGAAGTCAACCTTTACTGAACTGGCACCGCGAGGCCATAAAAGGCTGTGCGGCTGGCCCCGCGCCCACGCAACACGCTGGAGCGCCCGACTGCGCCTTTGCCTCATCAGAAGAAGAATCCGGTGCGCGGAAAGAGCACGAGAAAACGTCAACACAACACACATACTTCAATAAAAATACAAACAAAAATGTTACTGCCTCAGCCGCGCAGAAAGACGAGTAAGTAAGTAACACAGTCGTGTGGGAGTGTCCCGCGGTCGGGGCTGATTCACGGCTTTTCCACGTCGGGCCGTCCGGACAATGTGGCAGATTACGGCGTGGCGCGGCGTGATTGGGACCCAAGGGGCCCAAAGCCCGGCGCTGCCCGGCGCTGCCCGGCGGTGCCCGGCCCGGCCCTCGGCGCGGCGGACATTGAGCTTCCTGATCACGACCGCCACCACCGCCGCCGCCCCTCTCCGCGCCACCGACCCGACCCGACCCGGCGCGGCGCGGCGCGGCGGCCACAGCGCTGACCGCGGCCTCACGCGGGCCGCCTGTAGAGCGCGGCTGGGGAGGGGGAGGGGAGGGGACGCCTCCGACGGGGCGACTCCGAGCCGAGGCGGTGTACCAACCGACCAAGAATTATGTATCGGGAGACAGTCCCAGGTCTTCTTGAGCTGTTCGACGGCGACCCTTCCAGAGCAGTAGTATGAGTTCTACTCTCAGGGATGGGCCGCCGTGATGAGCCATGCTGCGCAACACAACCTTTATAACGTCACCGCCTTCGCCCCGGGGGGCCGGCTACCCCTGCGCTGCTCGGCCACCACAGCTTTGCGCGATGCGGCTGGCGCCTACAACAAGAGACAAAAGGCCCCCCTCGCCCGGAGGCCCGGCCCGAGCCCAAAAGGGCAAGAGGATTGCGCGCCCAGCACCGGCCAGTTGCAGCGGCCTGACCAGCAGCACGAGCCTGTTGTTGTTCCATCACGCTCCCTAGGCCCCGCCCCGCCCCGCCCCGCCCCACCT